GGCTTATTGATGTGTGCAGTAATTATAGAGTGCGTGACGATTGTTAATAGCTGGGGCACAGCACACTCTCCGCTGACACAGCAGGGGTTAAATATGCATTCCACCGAGACAGAGCAGGGGGCAAAAATGTAATTCTTTACTTCAAGACAATCAATCAAAATTGACAGTGACTTTAACAACAATTTGTGGCGTGCAGGGGACGTGAAAAGGGAGCAGCCTGCGCTGTGTGAGCCAAGACCTGTGAGCGTGTTTATATTCATAGTAATCATCTTTATTTGTCATGTTGCATTGACAGACGGAACATGTTGTGGAATTATAGAGCTGAACTGAGCTCCTTTATCCCAAAGATTCTTACCGTTGCTTCATCACATGGCCCAAAACCTTGGTCACCTCGGCTTGTATGGTTGGCATTAGGAGTGAATCTAAGAAGACCTTCTTATAGTGAAACAATAGTTGCCATTCATTCAGATCTGTGCCCCGGTAGATTGATATCATCCAAATTGAATCTCTTATTACATAATATGATGGGCCCCCATTAAAAGTTAAATCAGAAATGGGTTTGGATGTTTTTGCTGTTAGCAGATCACAGCATCAGTCACAAGAGCTCTGTCCTTTCAAGTGGCCTAAACTTCCATAGGATCTCCTGACACGTGATGTTTCAGTTAAAGGATGAATGAAGTGAATGAACAAATTAGTGCTGTGCAAATTAACGATTAATTTCTCGATTAATCGTTAATCTTTTTGATCGATAAAAAAAATTTTGATCGATTTAAAAAAAAATTTTTTTAAACTTTCTGCACTAGCGCCAGCCAAGGCATTGGCCTATACACATAAAGCACAGCAATGAAGTAATAAAATGAACTAGGATCACACTAATCCAGCACGTTATTATTTTGAGTTGCTCCACTCAAGCGGCGGCCATATTGAGTGGGGCACGTGAGATTAATAATGTGCTGGATTAGTGTGATCCGAGTTCATTTTATTACTTCATTGCTGTGCTGTATGTGTATAGGCCAATGTAGTTGGATCTGTATGTGCGTTATAATTAATCGAAATTAATTGATTAATCGATTAAAAAGAATTTCGATTAATCAAACACGAAAATTTTAATCAGTAACAGCCCTAGAACAAATACTACATGACAGATTCCCCAGCATGTCGTGAAAGTCACTTGGCAGTTGTTACCGACACTTTAGCTTCCTACACACCTAGATTATTGCTAGCTGAGCTTGGGTAGGTAGCATCTCCATTATTCACTGTGCATCCAATGACATGAAAGATGGTAACTTATCACAGAGTGTTCATGGATCGACCTGCCAAAAGCATAATATATTATAGTGTCGGGGGGCAGAAGAGATATTTTGTAATAGACAAATTGTTGTGTGCTAGTAAAGAGCTTGAGGCTTTGATGGACTACAATCTCAGGTATAGTTTACTCATTTGTATTGAGATTGTAGTCCATCACAGACCGAGCTTGGAGCTGTGACTACTTTACAACACACACAGGGACCATGGGGAACAACAGTAGCCACCCTCCAGAAGGAAGGACAGTGTCAGCACCAATTCAGAGATGATTTGAGGATCTACAGCCGAGTGATACACAAGATATATTTTTGTTAATAGTTAGGGTATTTGAATGCATTTTAAGGCCCCGCTCACATTCAGCGGTTCGCAAATCGCGCGTTTGTAGCGCGATTTGCATTTTGCGCGATATCACGCAAATGCTTGCATTGAACAAGCGAGAATCGCGGCAAAATCCGCTCCAAAAAGGGTCCTGCTGTAGCGACACACGACCCGCGACAGCAGGACCCTTTGCCCCATTGAGATGCATTGAAGAGCGATATCGCGCGGTAAATAGCCACGATATCGCGGGAATTACCGCGCGATAAATCGCTCAATGTGAACGGGGCCTAAGATGTGACTCCTGAGTTTAGAGTCACGTTTTAAGCTTTTTCACTTTATTTGACCTGGTGATCCCGTGAATAAGGCTACTTGTTTCTTTGTGTCTACACTCATTATTCCATGTGTCTCTGAAGGAGCCATGGTTGTCATATAGGCTGGGCTTCAAACATGTCTTCCTTTCTTCGTATCCATTACATGTTGAATCAGATAAACCAAGGTTGTTTATGATTTCTTTTCAACTGAGGTGAAAACGTGGAAAGAACACTGTATTTCTGGCAAGATCAACTGGTATTTTCGGTACTTGCTGAAAACATTCTTACGGTACTTGCTGAAACACGAAATCAAATGCAGCCAAAACCCCTAAGGACCATTAAATTGCAATATATTCCCTTTTTAGTTTTAGGCTTTAAAGTGCTCAAAGTGGACCTGCCATTAACATTCATGCTTCACATAAAATATCGGGGCACATGTCAGCATTAGCGAATTACATTATTGTTACTTTGAGTAACTATGTGCTATTTGCTTTCAATTACTTAAATATTATTTACATATATATTCCTCCTTCAATCCTCATGTGTTCTCTGACTACTTGGAGAATTTTTTAATTTGTTTTTTAAAACTGTTCGAGATTACAGATGTTACTGTTTTCAGTCCGATGGGCCCTTTTTGGTAGATCTGCAGTAACATAAGAGGGATCAACAAAACACAAACATGGAGTCTCTTCACATGTACTGCTGCCTCCTATACAGATACATTTGTGTGTAACAATAGATGGAAAAAACATTTTTAATAAGATGACACACATGCACAAAATGCTTCTGTCCTCAAATGTGTTATTAAAAATTACGGTTAGCAAGCACAGAACATACTTGTTGGGGTCACCGACTCCCACAAGCCATGGTCTTTCTGTCATATACCTGATTTTGTCTGGAATTACTGGTGACCAGCCCCTGCCATACCTTGGGAAACGGGAACAGGAATTTCGAACACCCTTATCCCCCTCTCAGAGGTCCAAGGTGTTGCATATGTGCTCCTCTGCCTCCCCGGATAGCTACATGACGGAAGTCAACTTCAAAGTTCTCGCTAGGTGGTATCAGGTACCTACCATCACCCATGCCATCAACCGGGCAAACTCCCCGCTGTGTTAGAGATCATGTGGAGCTCAAGGCACGTATGCTCACTTATGGTGGGATTGCCCGCACATACAACAGTTCTGGGGGGACGTCACCCGTTTCATTTCCACCATTAGCGGTATACATACACACTCGGACCCCTGGCTGTGCCTCTTCCATCTTAACCCCCTTTCAATGCGCTCATATAAGAGATCGGTAATTCCCTTTATGCTCAATGCAGCGAAAGCTCTTATCCCCACACACTGGCGCTCAAGCCAAACACCCACGGTGGCAGAGTGGTTGACACGGGTGGATCATTTGCGTCTGATGGAAGAACTCCATCACTCTAGTAAGGACACATATAGCACTTTTTACACGACCTGGGCAAGATGGCTGCACTTTAAAACTCAGGATGAATATATCTCAATGCTATCTGCGTGATATGGTCTGCTTTAAAACCTGTTTTTTAGTTTTTTTTTCCTATTAGTAACTCTGTAAAACTGGCTATTGTCTCTTACCCTAACATACTACGCTTCCGGTAAAATGATTATCATGTTCCATTGAGAGGTTCCATCACTGTATTGTTATGCACTGTTTGGCCACATGCCCGAATGCGCATATTGCGCCACGCTTACTCAAAGGCACCCCGACCAGGTCCCCCCATACCTCTACGTCTCCTGTCCCCCCCCCCTTTACCCTGGATATCGTATGTAGTGTGATTGTCTTAATGTATGCTCACTGTATTGTATGTATGTCTTTTGTTATATTCTGAAAACCTTCAATAAACATTTTAATATCAAAAAGAACATACTTGTTAATGTAAGTTATAAGTGATCACTATGCTTATTCCTTTTTCCCGCTGCTGTCAGAACACTTATCCTCTCTGTTTAGCATGGATGAACCAGGAAAATTGTCAGTGTATGCCAGCCTTAGGCCCCTTTCACATGGGCGGACTGATCTCTCAGTTTTTCAGGTGGACCCGCTCGTATGCCCATTGCTAGTTTATGGGCAGCCGGGTCTAAACGGGTGGGTGTCTGTTTACACCCAGTTACCCCCAGCTCCAGCCAGATCTGGAAAAACAAACAGAAGCTGGTTGACCTTCACTTTGAGGCCCTTGTCTGCCCACACTGCCTTTCTCTCTGTTTGCGTATGAGCTCTGTTCTTATGTTACTACTTAAGTGTTTTTGACATACTGTTTGCCTTTCTACTGTACTTGTGTTGTCTAAATAAAGATTATATTAAGAAAAAAAGAAATGAATGGGAGGGGGGTGGGAGGGTTGATGCATCTAAAAACACAAGCGCATGAGATCTTGAACGTTCAGCCTTTGGGTTTGGCGGAACAAGAGTTAACTAGATTTTGGTGGTTCTGATTGAATCGCCGGATCCCCTATTTTGGTTGGAATATTCACAGGACATTTTCAGCCTGGGGGTCACTATTATTTATACCTGTGTGCTGTCTGCGTGTCACTACTCAAATATAAATGCTATATGCAAGGCTCCTGTCTGTGGCCTGAAATGAGCTCAGACTGACCTTTGCGAAAAAGATATTAGGAACATTTAATAAGAATCCCTGCGCTGACAGACAGCACTTGGCGAACATCCTGGATATTAATATGAATAGTCAGTTCTTCCTATTGCACGGAATTCCCAGTTCCGCAGCACCTGCTCCAGAATGTGGAATTAAGGGCAGTACACAATCAGTTTTAGCTTACTCTGTATGTGTGTGTTTATATTATGTCTTTTAAGCAGAAATTAGAATTTAGATGAGACGGTGTCAGGAGGGTGTGTTATTTCACAGAAAGGATCCCGTCTTCTGGGACTTCTATCTCTGCTCAGAGAGCCTCTCTTCAATCATTCCTCGCTGCTAATTTTGGTGTCACTCTCATTTCTTTTTAAACGATTCATTTCAAAGGGAAAGGGGGGGCGAGGGGGAGGAATTGTAAATGGCCCCGATGTGATCTACAATTTAGTCTATTACTGTTGCAGCCTGCAAGCCTCCCGGGAAGCGGAACATACATGGCCTCAAGGTAGGAATTTCAATAATTGTTTCAGTAAAGTTGGATGGATTTGAAATGCTGTGTTCCACTTATTGAAACGTCAAAAAAAAAAACCCTGTACCTTCCACACTGCTGACAAGCAGGACTTGCCTTTACTGCCAAAAGTGATAGTTGCAAGCACAGTATAGATCTGAAGCTTGAGTCTCACTGGCAGAACATATTTTGTGTGTGGTGGTTTACGTGTTTTTCCCTCCCCATTGCATGCTATTGAAGTCTAACATATTTAAGAATTAGAAAAAATCTTGTAAAACCCGATTGAAGGGTAAATCCACTTTCCCGGGTGAATTTGGGAAAATGGTATTACCAGATTGGAGGAGGTACGGTAATTCAATTGTTCCTAATTTACATGAGAAAGTGGAATTACCTAGCTGAACCTCGGGCAAGTTAAAAGCAGATAAATAAGCAGCTGAAATTGCTTTGTGAAAATTATCCTACCACTCACAAAAATTGGTAATTCTGTTCAGTTAGGGCCCATTCACATTAGATGCATGCATTGTGGCTGCCCTGGTGGTTTCTAACCAGCACATGCCCCAACGCAAGATGAGGCAATTTGCCTTCTCATGGATGGACACCATTCACACCAGTGCAGTGGTGCGTGATGAGGAACAGCCGTCTCACATTCAACTGTGCCTGTAGAACTGAATAAAAGTACACACTGCGATGTACTGGGATCGGTGCATAAGCACTCTCCCGGGCACCACATATCGGCTGCTGTGAGCAGTGGCTGGTGTGAATGGGTCCTCAATTTTTTTATCTGGGCACCCTGGCTACACCTCATGGACAGATTGTCACATCAGCTTATACACTGCAGTTAATACAACACAGGCCCAGCCTGGTCTTAGGCTGCTTACTGGACACTGGAGCATCACCACAATGAATAGGTCTTCACTCTGCTCAATCTATTCTCACCTGGGGTGTGCAGTAGAGTACTGACCCTCAGTCCTGCTCTGCAGTGTGATATACAAATTACAGGCAAGTAGTGACTTAAATCAGACGTATACTGAAATGACATGCTGAATTTTTAACCTTTACCAGAGAAAATGCTGTGTAAAGCAATCTCTAGTGCAGGTCACGTGGCCATACGCCTAGGCCTTTGGTCACTTGACTTCTGCTGAAGAGCAGGATCAGCCAATCTACTATTCTTTAACACATATCACATGACTAAATGTCTTTATGTTATGTATGCAGCACTGAAGGGAGCCTGGAGCAACATTTTATTGATTCAGCCCATCAAGAATAGTTAACAGAGTTTTATTTAGTGTTTTATTATCATTCCACTTTAAGAGCTAAATGAATTGATCTCTGGGTGGCCACGGATACTAGTAAACTGAAGAATTAGGGTTGGGCTTACGGTTTATTTTTTGGTTCACATATAGGTTATAGATATAAAGCAGTGAATGTGACATTTACCAAACATGCACTACATGTGCATCTTCCTGGTGCATATGTTTGAAATTATAGTGATTAATTCACATGCAGCGAATGTCAGATTCACTGTTTCATAAATATGAAATAATATATTTTAGGCATCAAGTCAGGTTACGTCTATGGGACACATGCATAATAATAGGGAAAGAGGAACTGCCAGTGTCGCCAGTATAAACCAGCTGGATTCTTCCTTTTATGTTTGTATTAAAATTCAGGTTTCTTACAAATGGGCAAGAATGTACTCAATCTGCCCATCATTGCCCTAATAGCTGCATTTCCAGACTCTCTGTGACTTTCCTCCCTGATTTGGTTGGTTAAGGCACCAGCACTTGTACAGGAAGACCTTTCTTTTGTTATAGACAATCAGCTCATCTTGGCTTAATCATTTAAAGATGGAGCGCTTGTCACTTAACATCTAGATGGGAGGGAAAAGCAGAGGGATGACTTCATCACTGTGCTGCTGCTCTCTCATTGTCCAATCATCAGGCTGGGGGAGAAGTGGGTACTAATGAAGCAATACATCAGCTCTCAGTGTTTTTACTATAGTCACCTATCAGTTGGAGGAGTAATACGCCTTTGGCTCCATTCACACATAGCATTTGCATTTTCCGTGCAGTACGAAAACGCGCAAATTTTAACATGCACTCGGATTCCACATGTTTTCAGTTATTTGCTATAGCTGGAACGTGCGGAATCCGCCCAGAATATTGTGCTTGGACTTTTTTATGCGATGTGCGTTTTTGTACTGCGTGGATGTCGTACAAGTGTGAACAAGAAATATTGGAATGTATTGCTTTTTATGTTTAGCGCGTTTCTGCATGTACAAGTACACGCAGAAAACCGTTAATGTCCGAACGGAGCCTAAAAGTGACCCTAAACTCAGAAGTTAAATCTTTAAAATGCATTCAAATACCCAAACTATTACCAAAAATGTATCTTGTTTGTGTATCACCCAGCTGTAGATCCTCAAATCATCTCTGAATTGGTGCTGACACTGTCCTTCCTTCTGGAGGGTGGATACTTTTGTTCCTCATGGTCCCTGTGTGTGTTGTAAAGTAGTCACCGCTCCAAGCTCACTCCAGTGATGGACTGCAATCTCAATACAAATTAGCAAACTAAACATGAGATTGTAGTCCATCACAGACCGAGCTTGGAGCGGTGACTACTTTGCAACACACACAGGGACCATGGGGAACAAAAGTAGCCCCCCTCCAGAAGGAAGGACAGTGTCAGCACCAATTTTTGTTAATCGTTAAGGTTCTTGAAAGCATTTTAAGATTCATCTGCTGAGTTTAGCATCACTTTAATTTCAGAAGGAGAAGGGCATTGGATTGTGCACACAGAAGATTTTTGCTTCTTTAAGATTAAAGTAAACCTGAACTATGGGCATACCTGCCTTCCACTCACTCCCGCTCTCCAATCACCTGCTAGCACCCCAAGATTTCACTGTGGATTTTTATTTAACCCATTGCTTTTCTTCCTTGGAATTCAAATAACGTTCTTCACCCCCAGTGGTCCTCTCCTTTTTTTGATCGCACAACTAATAAAGTGCTGTCTGTGATCACATATACAGTATGTCTGTGTATATGTGTATGCCACCTTAAGGCTAAAGGCACTCTGACATTCCCTCTAGGGAGCCTCAAGTGCCCCAGCACACAATGGGCAAAAAGAAATCAATACAAGGACCATGACCATCTCCCCTTAAGAGGACGCAATCCCCTTACTATTGGTTTTCAAGAACTATTGTATGGTATTAATGAAGTTCCAGGCTTACTGTACAACTGCAGCGGCAAGTCCTAGGAAATGATCCATTGGACAAAGCTTACAATTTAATTTCTTTAGCTCAGGTCCATTAATAATTAACAATAAAATCATATAATCCATATATGACCATTTGTAGGTATCGATAGTTGTATTTGTTGTTTTATGCATTGCTTTCCCAGGTTGAAGGACACATGTAAGTAATGTTTTGGGTACATATTTTTACATTCACTTCTTGTTATATGTATGAAATAATGTGTGCATTCTTACATTCTGTATAAGCTTACTGCATCCTATATGGATGATAGAAAGCTTGTCGCTGACCAGCCCCACCACCCTACAGTTGGCTTTTGTGGCCAAATAATAGAAGGCCATGTTTTGGAACACATATGTGCAGAATTTCTAGCCTGCAATGTGTTTATTGCATCCACTCAAATAGTACCCACACATTTAAAAAGCTCTTTTGTTCTAACAGTCAAACTCTGCCTTGGCACATTCCACGGTGCTTGGAATAAGATAAATGTACTACCTGTGTGGATATACATACTAGGCTATGTTCCTGACACTCATTAGAACTGAAGAATTGGCTCAGATAAGCTGCAAAATGTCTCCAACCTTACAGACAAGTCCAGTTAAATGTGGCTAACTACTACTAGCTATGCTTGAAATCAATTGGCAACATGACTGTCACCAGCAGTTTAGCAAGAACTTTGGCTGCTATTCTGCAAGTGATGAGAGCCAGCAGCTTCATTTCCACCTGCGTACACCTTCTTTGCCTTTCTTAGAGTAGGGCTACCCCTGCACTACAAGGGTTGAGTGATTTTTGTTGTTGTCAAGGGCTGGAGTTAAGGGTGTACTTTCTTTTTGTTTGCCTGTATATGGGCTTTAAGTATCCTCTCCTTATACCACATACATTTTAAAATGTATTTTCTGATCATTTCATTCAATATTTTAAAATAAACTTTTACTTAGACTATATATAGCTGCTATCGCTGAACTCTCCTTTTGAACATGTTTTTTGCCTGCCTATTATGCTGACCAAAAGGCTTGCAAAATGCATTGACCTGGTACAAATATGCATTCGCGTAGATCTGACTTTCCATGGACTTCATTAGCTGCTTCCTTGAACAAGTTCAGCGGGTCTAAAAGTATGGAGACCAGAGACAGCCAGGCAATTAACATTTTCAGAAGGTATGCAAGCCTTTCTGTTTCTCTTGGTACAGGTTTCCTTGAAGATTTGTTTCCACAAAATGATGATGTGTATATACTGTATGTGTTCATTGACCCTTTGCAAGCCACTTACAGCAATTTTTCCTGTTCTTCTGCTTTGGCTGTAGGTGAATACCAGAGGCGGAACATCTAATAACTGCAACAGCTCCATATCAGACAGTATGTCCAGCAATAGGTAAGGGTATACACAGCCGACTTATATTTAGAATGAGTCCGATGATCCTACTACAGCTTTCCTCCAGGGCTGTTTGTGAAAAGAGAAGTGAGTACACTGTGAATATGTGTGATCCTTAAAACATTCTGGGAGCTATTTAAAAGCTGAGGAAATAATAGTAACGTGGATTGCTAATAAGGTAACCAAAGCGTGACCTACTACATCAGTACATTATTGTATTGAGCGCTGCTTAGGGCTTGAAATAATTATGTATTTTGTCCTCACTTTTAGACAGACACAAGTCTATTGCACACCTGGCTACTCCAGCAGGCATATTTTCCCTTGAGGGCTTATTTACACTTAACTGTTCCATTGCAGTGTATCAAAGCACACATGTAAACTTGTGTTATGGCATGCCTTAATGTGCGTTGAGGTATCCCATGTATTTTGAATGGTCTGCCAACGGATGAAAAAACATGCAATGCAGCGCACCACAATATATACATTGAGGGGAATTTATCAAAACTGGAGCAGATAGAATCTGGGCAGTTGCCCATAGTAACCAATCAGCTTCTCTCTTTAATTTTCAAAGGTTAACTGAACAAACTGAAGAGAGAAGCTGATTGGTTACTATGGCCAACTGCTCCAGATTCTGTCTGCTCCCGTTTTGATAAATTACCCCCACTGTGTTTTGGGGCATTAGGCTCTACTCTTAAAATGCATTGAACTGCCATTCAAAATGAATGGAACCGCATTGCACATAGAGGAGGCGTGTTGCCAGGTCATGTGGTAATGCGCGTTAACGCAAACACAAGTGTGACTGGATCCGTAGAGTGCCAGATAGTTAAATTATACCGCTTTGGGTTAATTCTGACTGGTTGCAATAGAACTTTGCCTTAAATTAAATAAGCCAAGTAATGCTTAAGCTGCGGTATCTAAAGCAGCTTGGACAGCTTAAGGCCTCATTCACACTGGGTGTACATGTACATGTGGCGTGCACAGCCGATCCCAGGAGGGAGAGGTGCTGGTGTGATTGCGCGCAGTAGCCTGTTTTTTCCTATGGGTTGACGCGGCTGTACACTGTCATCCGTACGGGTGTTCGCACTTGGGCGCAGATTGTCCCTCAAGGGATAGGCTGTTTATGGGCGTGCACCCCCAGTGTAAATGAGGCCTATTAGCAGGGCTTGAAAAATGTTAGGGTGTCTCACCAGTCAGTCAAAAATGTCACCAGTCAGCATGACCGGACTATAGCCTTGCAATTTATGTTAACATTTTTTGGGGACAGATAGAGCTTTCTTTTGGTGGTATATAATATCACCACGGGGGGTTATTTTTCACTATATAATGAAAAAAGTACAGTAAATTTAAAAAAAACAAAGTTTCCCTAAGTTATGTTATAAAACATCTATTCTTACCCATAGTTTTGGTTAAACATAAAAGACGGGGTCACGTCGGGTAAATAGACACCAAACATGTCAAGCCTTAAAATTGCGTGAGCCTGCAAAAAACTACCACACTGAAAATTGACCATAGGCGACGCTTAAAACGCTTTTACCGCTCATCAGTTTAGTGTTATCAGTAATTAATGGCCCTAAAATTATTGCTCACACTGCAACGTTCGCGGTTATATTTAACGTGTGCAGCACAATAGGCGCAATAGTTGTTTTCACACGTAGGCGCACCCGGCGCATATCTGCATGTGCATGTGGTAGGGGTCGGAGGACTTTAAAATGCTTCTTTCATTTTTGTATTACTTTTTTTTTTTTTACACAACTTTATTGCTATCACATGGGGGGCTAAGAAGCCCCCCCATGTGATAGCCAATTTACATGACAGGTCCTGTTTATGAAGACATCAGGGGTCTCCAAGACCCCTAATGTCACGTAGGGACCCCCAGAGAAACGATGAAGCAGAGATCTGCTTCATCAGCTTCTATAGCTGGAGAGTGACACTGAATGCAGGAAGTGATGTCATTTACATCACTTCCTGCATTTGGGGACTGAGAGGAGATCAAAGGGAGATCGTGTACTGATCTCCGTTTGATCTCCTGTCACAGAGCCGTGCCGGTCCCGGCCACATCGGGCACAGCGGATCTCGGGACCGGCAACAGCAGTGACAGCTTCTGGTAACATAAGTGATTGCTCGATCGCTTGAATGTAAAGCTCCCGGTCGGCCGTGTAATTACAACGGCCGGCCGGGAAGCTGCTCGCCGGGCTCCGCCGTCCTCTCGTCGCAGACGAGTGGATTTTTCAAGCCCTGCCTATTAGACTTATTCAAGTATGAAATTAGTGCAGAAAGAAGGAAAGGAGAAGAAAAGTGAAGTTTTAGCAAGTATTTTTACATGTAACAAATATAAAATAGGTCTTATCCCCATTTGGCTGCAAAAGGGGAAATGGGCTTTAAGTTATTAGTGACTTTCGGGATTCCTTAGGACAGTTTGGCAGATCCCTTTGAAATGTATAAAGTCTGATGAAGGGATCTAAGGAATCTGGAAAGCTTCCATCTCTAATAAGTTATGTTTGCAAACTTTGCTTGGTTACTAAGTAAACTTTTTACTTCACTAAGGGCTGGTTCATGCCTAATCCAGTGCTATTGACTTGAATGCACCACCACGCCCCCTCCGGCCCCAGATCGCTGGGAGACTTCATCTATGTGATCCAGTGCGCTCCAGCCACTAACCTTGCCGGAACGCACTGGGTTAGGTGTGAACTAGCCCTTGAACTCCAAACTTTCTGCAATAATCGATGGCTAACACAATACAGTATTCTACTACTGCAAGTATGAAATAAGTGTAACTGAGCCACACAAAGTACAAAAGGTTGCATCCTGAAATCCATGTAAAACCAAAGTTTAACCTAATTTCAAAAGTATTTTTAAATCATGAATGTTTTTTAAAATTATACCTGGTGATCCTCCCATGAAGGGTTATTTTTAGGCAATGCCTGTTATAGGATGACAACGCTCTGTGCTTGTCACTCATTTGTGCTTCTATTTTGTCACCCTGTAACATGGGTTTGCAATGGAGATGTCTGGTTTATTACATATTACACAAGAGGTCGCACCATTGATGCCATCCAGAAACCCTCCCTGTGAAATGTTATGCCGCCATTGTTGGAGTGCATGCATGCAGACAGAACGTGGCTGCAAGAAATTAGCAGCACTGAGATGCAACAAAGGCAAGGAATGGAAACAGAAGTATTTTATTGACAAAATGGCAATTGTTTGATATACTATTTTAGCAAATTCCATGCCATTCAGTTAGGGTTTCTATCTACTTTAACCAGTTCCATGAAATGAAATGAAATGCATCTGATGGCATCTGGCATACATATTGGATGTACATAAAACAGCAGATGCTCAGATAGGAGAAGAATTTCAGTACTGAGCACCAGTATCAGAGGGAAGAGTATGTAACTCCTGAGCTACTGGTTGTGTATTACAGATAGATGGATGGGGCAGTCTTTATTTCGACATTGTAATGACCATGGTGTTATGTCCTTTTTTTATTTTACAGCTTAAAAAAAACCTCTGCAGAGCTGAAAAAGATTTTAGCCAATGGACAGGTAAGTTGTGCCCTTAAAGGAGACCTTCAGCCTTTTCAATTATTTTTTTTTAGTTTTAGTATGTGAAAAAGACAGAGGGCATGTTACTACACCTGTGTACAGGTGATTATGATCCTGGCTGGTGTTCTTCAATGGGGCAGGTTAACATACTTGCATAACAATAAAAATATATTATATATACAAAAATTATAAAGTATAAAGAGCAGGAGCATACAGAGTCCAAAACAGTAGGTTGAATACACATGTTGACATAACAGTAAGATCGGTAGTTTCAGAGGACTTATCAGCCTGCATGTACAAACAGTCATCTCAATACGCTAGTCAGCGGAAAGAAAGAGGCCTAAACCTCTGTATAAGTAGGGAATGCAACATAAAATAACAAAAAATAAAAAAGAGAGGGAAAGGCATAGAGTACCATGCCTATCCCTCAACACTGACTGGGGTATGAACTACAGTTAGATATTTTAATTATCTGGTAGGGGATAAGGACAGGGAGCTAAACATGTAGGGGGAGGGAAGGACAAGACTATGGAAAGGGTCTATGCAATTTGCCATATTACCTGAATGTAAATTAGACTTTAAAGTAAAACTAGTCGGTATAAGGTACACTGTTAGACAGAGGCTTGTACAAGCAAGTGTAGGTCAAATAAATATTTTCAGTAACATTTTAGGAAAAGGCTTAGCTGGGGGACGAAATCTGTGAGGTAGCTATAAACGACAGGCAGTAGGACCTGGTTGGATATCATGTGGTACGTATAGTACATCTATGGTCTTTCATCCAGCATAACCAGTTGGCATTAAATGTATCCCATTTGAAATGGGCTTTTGCATGGAGCATTTGAAAGTGGGCCTGAATATTCAGTATTTCGATAACAACATATAAACTAGGGGTTTCTACTCGCTTCCAATGTCGCGCCAGAGTTGCATAACTATTATTTAGCTTGGATTAGATTGAGATGTGTTCCTGATCTATGTAAAACTGACCATAATGTTCAGGTGGAAAAAAAATATTTAAAAAAAATAATAATTAAAAAGAAACCCTGAAAAACATTGATTGTGTACGTTTTTATCCCATTTTTGATACCACCGGCTATGGTGCAACCAGCTGCTCTCCACACAATTAGTTCATTTTTGATACCACCGGCTATGGTGCAACCAGCTGCTCTCCACACAATTAGTTGGGTCCACCAGTCTATAATATAAACGTCACATGACCTCACAATAAATACAGTTTCTGGAAGGCCCCAAAGTTTATAAGAAAATACTTCTCACCAAACCGTGTCATGAAGACCTAGGAGGTATCCAAACAAGTCTTGGATAAAGTTTGTCTTGAGTAAAGAGAAGCACCAGTCAAGGTTAGGTTATGAAACTTTTAGCACACCCTAGAACGCTGTTAAATCCAAAATGAAAATAATTTAGCTCAACTGCCTATAGAGGCCATCCTCCAAACCCAGTGACAGGGCATGAACAGCAGTCAGTCAGAGACACAACCAAGAAGCCAATGGTAGCTCCGGAACAGAGATCAACAGCTGACTCGAGGAAAACAGTCCATGGGACAACTCTTACCCGTATTTGACAAAGAAATGGAATAAACTTTCATTTCAGCAACAAAAAAAAATAGATATATTTTTTTTAATTCCAGGTTGTAGCACTAAAAAATAGCAACAGGGGGTTGTTACTTGTATATGGGCAGTACTTTGATGTTTGTCATATACAGCTATTATGTCTTTGGGGCACCCAGACCAACAGGTAAATCTATGCAGACACATCTACCAGTCTGCCAATAAATAGCTTGCAGTGCGGAGCCTCTCGCTGTGCAAAAAAAATGCATGGACCTGTGTCCTTCATGATGAAGTGTGCTGTAATGTTACCTACATCCTGGGCACTGGAGCCTGTAACTATTCCAACAAATACAGGTTGTAGGGACATGAGAAAATGATTTTGTTAGCAGAGACATGACTGGACATGATGATTCCGTAGAACCATATCTAATAACCGTGTGGCGGTTCCCTTATCCAATCCTTTTTTCTATAATATTGACTCCCTGGCTGCTTGTTAACCAATGTTTTGTTTTTCATACTTCCTCCTGACTAATTTTCTTAGAGTCAGTGGAATTGAGAAGAAAAATTATCAATATTTGATTCTAGAAGCAGCTTCTAAACAAGCTGATATGTATGTTACTGTTGCCTTTCTATCAGCTTGAACCAGTCTGGCCATTATCCTCTGACCTCTGGCATCAACAAGGTATTTTTGCCCAGAGAGCTGCCGCTCACTGGATATTTTCTCTTTTTCGGACCATTCTCTGTAAACCCGAGAGATGGTTGTGTATGAAAATCCCAGTAGATCAGCAGTTGCTGAAATACTCAAACCAGCCCGTCTTGCACCAACAGCAACCTCATGTCTGATGAAGGGGACCCTGAGTGGCCCGAAACGTTGTTTTATGACGAGATGTGGGTACATCAATAAAATGAACACTCGTTAAATTTTTACTTTGGTGTGCTGGTGATATACTTAACTATTTGCACCAACAACCATGCCACGTTCAAAGTCACTTAAATCCCCTTTTTGCCCCATTCTGATGCTCGGTTTGAACTTCAGCAGACCATCTTGACCATGTCTACATGCCTAAATGTATTGAGTTACTATCATGTGATTGGCTGATTAGATATTTGTGTTAATGAGTAGTTGAAGAGGTGTATCTAATAAAGCGGCCAGTGAGTGTGTACTATGTGTGTGTGTATGTTTAGATATAATTACAAATTTAGCCAAGATATAACTAATGTTGTTATTGGATACTGCTGCTTGAAAATGACTGATTGATAATGTATTATAGGTTATTATTCACATAATGACTGCAGCCTATTTACCAGTGCCCTAAAGGTGGCCATACACCTTACAACCATTGCACGACTTTCATTGTGCGATGGTTGAAAGGTGATTAAAATTTCGTACGACCTGTCCATCATGGATAGGCAGATCGTACTTGTGATCATCGCAAGTCTTCCCCGCTGAGGGGAGGGCTTGCAGATGATTGCAATGGTGAGCGGGCAGTGTGCGCTTGCGCAACTCGGGTCGTGCGGCTTTCGTACGATTTTCGGTGGGTTTTCTAGCGTGCTCGTTATATGAAAATCGTACCACAGTAAATGCGGTCGCGCGCTGTTCATCAACCTTACGATTATAGTACGATTACGGAATCACCCACGTTTGTACGATAATCATCAGGTGTATGGGCACCTTAATGGTAAACTCTGTTCGCTCATGCCTAATTAATCATGGTGATATGGGTTTTGCAAAAAAACTTACTTGTGTTAGCTAAATAATAGCTAAATCCTGTTTTGTTGTTAAGAAAGCAAGTAAATTGGCTTACTTTGGGTTTCAATGTGCATTCCAAAAGTTTATTTTCAGGTTAAAAAAAGGCTAAAATGTAACCATTTTCTCAAGAAATCTGTCAGCTTAATTTGCAAAATAAGGATTATTCCATGTGCCAGATTGGCTGGAAGCAGGGGCTGACTGGCAACTTTTATCCCAGGGGGCAAATTGTAGGCTTGTGTGTAGGCTTGCAAGACTAAAATGTTTTATGTACAAAGGGTTATGGTAGGTTAGTGAGCAGCACTGTGACCTTGTAATGCTGACATCTTGGGTTTAGTTCCCACCAGGTACAATGTCAGCATGGAGTGTGATGCTTCACTTGTCATCCCCAATGCAAAACATACTAGTTGGTTTTCGGCCACCGTGAGCCACTGCAGCGGCGGCCGTGAAATCCTTTTAGCGGGGCCAGTGACAGGCCCCCTGACGGCCGCGGGCAGCGGCCGTTTTTAAAGGCAGCACAGAGGCCCAGGGGGCAATTGCCACCCTGCCCCCTGGCCCAGTCCGCCCCTGGCTGGAAGTCAAAGATTTTGTACACAGGTGACCACTACTATTTTGAGAGAAGAGTATAAGCAGGATAGAGACTGAAGCAAAAAGCTCAGATATGCAGCTGCATGAAAAAATATGTACATCAGAATTTGCAGTTTGAGAAGTAGGTGTCATACAGCTTTTCAGTTTACTGCTGCCTTTAACAGAAACAGTAATGGTGTCATCTGCGACCAAAAGGAGAAGAGTCTGACATTTTACTGGCCTTAGAAGTAAAAAAATAAAAAATGCCATATCTGAAACTGGCAACTAAAAAAAATAGTTTATTATGAGTAAAAGAATACAGACATTGAGTGGAAAACAGAAAGAGTACAGGTAGCCCTCAATTTATGCCAGGGTTAGGCTTCTGAAGTAATGGTTGTAAATAGAAACTGATTGAAAACCAGTATATAATGTAAGTCAAAGGGAAGTTAGGTTCCAGGTCTCTCTCAAAGATGACATAATACATTTATATTTAAAGCTTTGAAATGAATGTTATGAATGCTAAACAGTATTGTACACAGTATAAAATAGGAGGAGACCACCAGGCAGAGGCTTGACTAGAACCTTCAGGGCCCCGGTGCAAGAAACCAGGAAGGCCCCCCCCCAACCGCCATGGCACCGCATGGTTAACAAGAAGGCTGCTGAGGTCCCCAGCAAGCGCGGGACCTCAGGCAGCCACTTGTTTAAAATTTTAGTGCCGGTGTTCTGTTGAGAACGCAGACCCAGTATCTGCGCTTACATACAGACGGGATTAACAAGGAAACCGGCATTTATTTACGAAGTATTTGTTTGTAATGGTTAATTGTGACCGTTAATAATATGCCGTCCATGGCAGTAAATGACAGATGGAATATTATTAACAGTCACAATTAACAAATTAAACAAAATACTTTGTGAATAAATCCCGGTTTCCTCGATAATATTGGTCTGTGCTCAAGCGCAGATGCTGAGGTCGGCAAATTTGACTACGTCGGCGTTCTCGACAGAACACCGCTATCTGTTGGGGCATTTTCACGAGTATGAGTACTCGTGAAAATGCCAAGAATTGGCACTGGTGTATCCCTACTTAAAAATATAATGCATTGCTGGGGCTTGTAGTCCTACAT